CTAAACCACCATGCACTACCGATTAGTCAGCTGATTAAGGCAGCAGACATCAGAAAACAGCCTCCCCCAGTAATATATAGCAGTGTCAACACTTTCTGCTTTTCTCGGACAAGCAGAGAAGCACGTGTACCCCAAACAGAGCACCAGAAACTTACTGTGATCCCTTGACAGCTGAAGCAGCTTGCAAATTGATCTGACAAGACTCCCTCCTTTGCAGTATTACAGGCTCTGTTCTCCGCAATGGCTAACCAACAGTCCCTCGCCTGTGTCCATATTATGTGCATTACACACACGCATACCCCTCAGTGCTCGTTTGGCACACGGTCCAGAAAATGTCACCATTGTAATGGGTAAGCTGCTATGGCAGCCAGAGTAGACCACTCACTTAAAGGAGCTTTTTGTTGCAGTAATGAGAAGGTTGAAAAACCATTTGCTAGAAGTCATCTCCCTGGGGCCTCAGCATCTCACCATCTGCAGGAATTAGCAGCTTGCCATTTGCTATGTGCAAGCAACACTTTCCTTCCTTCTTTCTTCTGGCCACAGCCATGACACAGTTTGTGAAGAGGGTATGTGTAGGTGTGCAAGGATCTGGACTTATGTCTCTCTCACCCTGGCCTCTGCAACGTCTCTTCGCACAGGCCAAGGAGCATGCTGGTAGAAAAAACCTCTAGAAAAGGAATAAGGTACGGGGTCCCCCTTACAGAACTGAGTGCAAATAGAATGATCAGTCTCAAAATAAAGCAGGGGTTTTTCTTAAAATTCAGTTCTGCTAAGAAATAAGAGTAGAAAAAAGTAAAAAGAAACATCATCTCCCACCTCCTGCAGTTCTGGCTCGCCAGTTAATTTTTGCATACAAGAGCAGGTAATCAAACAAACCTCAAGTCTGCATCAAAAGATCATACAGCACAGCATCTCCCAGTCAAACCAGTATCAGATACTCCATCTCCTAGTGTCTCCACAGACAAGGGTATTTTCAGTGACAGGAACCATTGTGCCAGCCAACACAGCCAAGCGCAGAGCTGAAAGCTTACTCAGGCACAGAAAAGTGGCTTGAGCTGAGAGGGGAGCTCTCCTGGAGTCTGATGAGGGGACCAGAACACTAAGCTACAGAGGAGCAACATGTGTCCTCTTCTGCATCGAGCAGTTCTTGTCCCCTTGTCCAGCTGCAGTGCAGACGGGGAGGGAGAAGGGAAACAAAACCATTCTGTCTTCCTGAGAGATCAAGAAGAGAATCTCACAGAAAAAGCCCAAGAGCAAAGGATTTTCACAGAGGAGTTCTGGAGAGGCAGGGGGGGAAAGCACAGGGAGAGGCAGTAAAGCAAGGGAGAAGGGGATGGGGAAGAAAGGAAGATTATTCTATTTTAGCATGACTTCCTAAGAAAATGAGCCTTAATGTAATCATTTAGCTGGTTTCCATCCCCCTACCCCCAAAAGTAACACTTGAACCAATTGGTCAATTTCATTCGAATGTGAGAGAGGCAGATAGGAAATTTCTACATGACTTGTGAAAATGAGGAGCTGCATAGAAGCCAGCCCTGCTGAGGGCAGAGTTGCCAAGCAGAAGGAGAATTAGGAGACACAGAAGGCAAATCTGGAACAAATCTCATTTCCTTTACTAACCTGCTCAGGGACAACTCACTTTATGCTAGCCCTAGAAAGGGGCAGGAGAATAGGAAGTGGATCCAGTGCTTTTTCTGCAGTTCTTGGTCTCTACCACTCCCTCACGGTGGAGAGGGACCCACTGTAGCTTCTGTTTTCAAGCGGTCAGTCCCCAGCCAGGAGAGCAATGTCTGACCTGTCAGTGAGGGCTCCTCACTCTGCTCCTTAGAAAGGCAGCAGGAAGGAAAAATCAGAGCACGGGCAGGTAAGATAGCATTCTTAAGATCTGCACAGATATCTATGCCCAACACATCTTCCTAGCAGGAAGAAAATAGGCAAAGAGTAAATTGCAGCTTGTCACTCTGTTAAGTGTGAAAAGCAGAATATAAAACAAGCAGCAATGGGAAATAAAGCAGGTCTGACGCAGAAAATGAGTGATATAGTCCAGCTAAGTGAAGAGCCAGCACTAGTTAAGAGACCTTAGGGCACCAGGAACACTGCCCTGCCTGGTCCATGCAGTGTCAGGGAGCCAGTTGGTCCACTGACAATTGCCAGCTGTGTCCTCTTTTGTTGCTCAGGGGGGCACCAAGCTGCTGAAAAGACCTACTAAATGGAAAGGATCCTGTCCTGGCCAGGCTTTGAAGAACTTTCAATGCTGAGCCCATTCTTCCCCCAGGGGACCTCCAGGCATCCAGGTTTCTTTCCTGAAAATTCTGATCCCAGACATGTTTTTGAAGGGCAGACAGGCAATAAACCGGCCCTCAGGACACTGCCAGCCTTTTCCAGTACACTGCTGAAACTGGAGGTGATCCAAAAAAACACTGAATAAAACCCATGGTAAAACATGCACAGTGAGGGAAATCCTCCATCTCCTCAACAATATTCTTGGCCTCTTAAGTGTCCCAAGGAGAGACAAGGGAAGAAGCAGACACAGTATCTTGTTCCTCTCTGACCTGGAAGTTCTCTGTCCTTGAAGGGATCATCAATCTCTGTGCTCTTCGATCTGGCATCGCTTTCACACACTGGGGTCTCATAGCTGAAAAAGGAGAACAGCAGATGCTAAACTATGCAATACAGCTTTAGTGTCATCAGATGGATGCTAAGGGGTTGTGTCTTATCTGCTTACTGAAGGGGAAACCAATAAAACTGCAGAAGAAATATTATTCTCAAGCATCTGTCTGCTTATGGACGGTCAGCAACAGCAGAAGTGGAGAGAGAAGAGCATACTCTGAAGTCCAGTACCAGCTACCAACCCAGACCCACAAATAGCACAAGGCTCTTTTCCAGCTCTTGTGGGCACAGGTTGAGCTTTTTTTTCAAAGCTGTGCATGCTCTGCAGAATCACTGTATCTAGCAGAGTTTAAGTCCCAGCTCCTGTTGTCCTGTTTTTATAACTTGCCAGACCCAATTTGTTTCCAAATCTCAAGTGAGAAAAGATTCCCCAGGTAGTTTTAAGATACAGAATAACTTAAAGAAAAATCTATAGTGGTTTAAAATCTATCAGCACACAACCAAGCAGTCTTCTAAAGCTGTACTGGTCAGGATTCAAGTGGCTGCAGCATGGAATTATAAACCTGATGATAATGCAACAAAGCCACTTGTTTTTTCACTGCTCATGCACCTCATCTGTACTCTTGAGCAACGCCCTGGTGCCTGCTACCACCAAAAAGCTGCAAGCCAGAGAAAAAAAGGCTGCTGTGCACGAATACTTAACACAGAGGAAAGTAAGGGTAGTAGTTACTATGCACCAAGTCCTACAGGGAGGTAGCTGCAGAGTAACATTCAATAGGGAACATCACATAGGGCATTGCTAGCTTTAAGTAAGGTAATACAGAGCTGACTGCTCTAGAAGGAGGAACTTATCTGATATGGCAACAGTATTTTTATTTTTTTTTATACCACATCTTCTCCAGGCAGGCATCTTACCAGGCCTACAGCTCTTACCGAGTGGAAGTACCAGGCAGGGGGCGTCCCGTGTCCACCAGGACACACCAGCAGTACCCAGTCGACTGGTGGCATTGCACTGGTTTGTAGAGCCCTCCGGGAGCACACTCGGGGATGACGATACCTTCACGGGGGTTCTGCCGGGCCTCTTCCAGGGCACTCTGCCTTTCCTGGTCACAGGAGTGAACTTTCTCTGGAAGACAGGAGGGAGGTTAAAGGAGGTGGAGAAGAAAAATCAAATCAAGAACACCTTTCTCAGCTCAGCAGGATAGGGGTATCCTTCACATCAGAAGACCTTTGTGTCTGTTTCCTTCTCAGCAAACACCAGTATGTCTACATCCCTAGGGACTCAGGAACTTCTGGGTCAAGAGCTTCCTCTGACATTTAGCTGTGACACAACACGATTAAGAAAAAACACAGTAAACTGTACAGGAGAGGAAAGCTAGAGAAGAAGAGAACAACTGTTCCTGCTTCTAGTTTTTGTCACTCTCCTAAGGATAAAAGTTAGGAGTTACTTTGTTGTCTTTTTTTACCCTATACTTAGGCATGTTTTAAATCCTGTGGTCAGCTGCCTTGACTGCTTTCTGTCCTATATGCATGCTTTTTTTTCTCTCTGTGATACCTTCAGTGGTTTCTAAAGTTATTTTTTTCTAAAGTTATTTCTAAAGTTCTTATAGACATCAACTGCCAAGTGCCCAACAAGCCAGAAACAGCAGGAAAAACTGTTCCCATTCACCTGAGTTTTGGAACAGAGCTAACAGATAACAATAATTCACTATTACTGCAGCAATGGGGCAAGCATTTCCCAGATGATGTTTTTGCATAGTGAGAGAGCCTAAATTGACACTTGTATTTTCCAGTTAAACAAAGGAGGCAAACACCCTGCTCTGCCCCACCGTCTCTGTTTCTAGACTGCAACACACTCTTCCCTCTCAATAGCATCTTTCCAACATGATACCAAGAAGAGCAGAAGGTTATGTTATCACACCACCTTATCCAGTGCAGAGAGGACCTGCACACACCTCAGCAGGGAACAGAATTGGATATCCCATTCTACCCACACTGTCATCACCTCTCCAGCATATTCCACCATTGTCCTCACCTGGAAAACAGAGGGCACACAATATTGTTTCCTACCAAGGGGTAGGTAGGACCCTGTCCCTTAAGAGCTTATTACACAGAAAAGTTTATTTCCAAAGACACTGTCAACCAGAGAACAGAGCACACAGATGGCACCCACCAGAGAAGAGAAAGACGACCAGGAGTGGTTTCCGCAGCCACCCTGGCACCTTTGGCCCCAACGCTGCCTCTTCAACCACCACCTGCAGAGGAGTGACAGATGCATGGAGAGGTGCCAGGCTGCTCCCTCTTATATGGACCAGCCATTAAAGGGGGAAGAGATGCACAGAGTACCCAGGGGACTTTAAGACCTATTTGGCTCAAGAGCCAGAAGTTCTGAATTACAAGTCTTCAGACACTCTGGCTCTTTGAGGAGTAGGAAAATTGTTTCAACTTTAGAAACCACTGAAGGTATCACAGAGAAAAAAAAGCACGCATGTAGGACAGAAAGCAGTCAAGGCAGCTGACCACAGGATTTAAAACATGCCTAAGTATAGGGTAAAGAAAGACAACAAAGTAACTCCTAACTTTTATCCTTAGGAGAGTGACAAAAACTAGAAGCAGGAACAGTTGTTCTCTTCTTCCCTAGCTTTCCTCTCCCGTACAGTTTACTGTGTTTCTTTTCTTTTTATAAATAAGCCGCAACATCTGAAATTTCTTGCCACAGCCAAGAATCCCCTCAAGCTTTCAATACATAAAATACTTCAACACTGGCAGGCAATGACACCACAGGTTCATCCCAAACCTGCAGATGTTTGCACAGTCAGCCAGCAGACATGGCATGACCTCCACATCCTGTCCCTGGGGCAGGCTCGGCACACAGCTAACACACGCTCGCTGTTTCTGCATATTTTGCCTGCCTGTCTGTACCCCATCAGTTACGTCTTATATTTTGGTGATAAACTCTGGTGCAGAGAGTAATTTTTTGTTCCGTGTTTGGGGAAGATAAAGGGTGCTGATTCACAACCAGAATTCCTCAGCTTGGTAGCAGCAGGTACAACACAAAACGCTCCAGCAGGTCTTCACAGCATCACCTGCGTACAGCCTGCTTCGGGTACCAGAAGCACTTTTACTGGCTTCTAATTGAACTGCAGCAGCTAAACAGTCTCAGAATGGTCTCCCACTCCAGCATTTCAGATCACTGTCAAAGCTGGGAACATGAAGGGCACCTGAACTTTGCCATGCACAAATCCACGCAACCGAAACACAGAATAAAAAACTTTTAAGTGTTGGCAAGTCTGACTAAAGCAGAGAGAAACTTGATCAGGAAGGAGCCAGAGCGGATAAAGTCAACAAAAACTGAAAGGGAGCTCAAGTCTCAGCTGATATTTAAGCTGACTTCACTTCGCTGACAGATTTCACATCTGAAAAAAAGGCCCCATGACTGTTCCCAAGCTGTACGTGGACAGAGAAGTCATTGAGCGAGAGGCCTGCAGGCTCCTTAAACCACTTACATCGCGAGGGGCCCCTGCTTGCCCACACTCTGCCGACAGCAATTCACACCTTGGCCCTCAGGTGAGGAAGACCATTCATGCAGCTTGAGGAAGCAAAACACAGGGGCAGAATTCCCTATCATCATTTTATATAATAAGCAAAAGAAAAAAATATTCTGCTGAAGAGAACTACATTCCAGGAATTTTTCTATTTAAATCCCCAAGGCTTCCCGAGTGCACAAAGTCAAACCAAGATTTCTCAAGTCCTTTGAGTCTTGCAAAACTGGCACTGCGAATGACTCTGGAAAAAATGAAGTGTTTTTTGTTTTGTTTTTTTTTTTTTTGTTCTGATGCACACACACTTATTGAAATCAAGAAAAAAAGAGAGAATAAATGTCTTTTGATGAGTTAGTATCTTATTTTACATACTTTTGCAGTTAGGTATGCAAATTGCACAGAATAAATGTACATATTTACACACACATTTGTACTATACCATAAAAAAATAGCAAAAGATTCTCTGCCCATAGTAACAGAAATGTGTGGGAATTGAAGAGCCATAGCATTTACTACTAGAATACAGAACTAATTGGTAGTCACTCCTGTTTGAAGGGTGTTTAAAGGCTGAGTGAAACAAATCTTACAGGTTTTGTTCAGTTGACATCAAATAGACATAATGATGCAAAATCCACCTCGTCACTAGTATTCAGTGGCCTGTCATTAGCAACGATTGCTGCACAACTGAAATAGCAGGGAGATGAGATTTTTCTCATTTCTAGCACACATCTAGAAGTAGCCAGCATGAAAGTCTCATCTATTCTATTACATCCTAAAGAACATAAAACAGACATACTGGGGCAAACCAAAGACCCAACTTGCCTTTTTCACCTCCAGCCGTGGCCAAAAGCAGAAGCTTAGAGGAGAACGGAGGAACAGGACAAGAATAAGCTTCTTCCCCCTGTATATTTCATGTCTCAACCAGCTGTGAATCAGAAACTTGCAGGGACAAACACACAAAGTCTGTATTTAGTGAAAAGCAATGGTTTTTCCCTTCTGCCAGTTTGCCATGTCTCCCCTCAAGCTTTTATTGAATGACATCCTGCAGCTAGTTCTGTGGCTTAACTACATGTTGCATGTGGAACACAGCACATCCTTTGGTTTGATCTAAATCTAGCTCCACCTAGCTTTGTTTGATGACCCGAGTTCTTCTGAAGGATGAAACAGTGAACAGTTTGCAGTCTCCATCCCTGCCTCTCACTGCTTTACAGATTCCTACTTCATCTCTTTTACATGGTGAAGAGTTCCAGCTGACCCAGTTCTTTCTCTGAACCCTTTCCATATCTACCATGCCATCCCTGAGCTAGAGAAGATCAGAACAGCAGACGTATTGACATTAAACAGAGGCTCTGACAACAGCTTTGTGGAAAGTTCCTTCAGTGACATCAGTCTACTAAGCAGAAGAAAGTATTAACTAGCAGTAGCCCTCGGTGAGGCTCTTTCCTCCAGGCTACTACTCTAACAGCACTTAATTCCCTTAAAAAATAAACATGAATATTAACAGTTGGGGTGTATTTCAACAGCCAACAAAATCAGCTGGGAAATCCATACCATCAGCTTCCCTAGTATGGGACTTGGCATGAACTGCACACACTGTCATCCTGAAAGATGATCTCGTGGGTAATGGAGGGACCATCAAACGCTCTCCCAGCTCCAGGACACTGAAGTCAGACTGTTCCAGTCAGACTGCTTACTGGAAACTTTGCTGCTGTTGCCAAGGCCAGGTTTATGGAGAATAGTGAAAGCCTATGGCCAAGCTAGAAGGTCTAATGCCAACTATGAAATTAAGCTGTCATCTTAGAAAGAAGCATATATTTATTATACATGCAGGGTACTTAAAAGCCTATTCCCTGTTTGAGTTAATGGGCGTTGCAAGCACAGAAAGATAAAGAAAAAAAGGTTTTCCTTCTTTCTCTATATTAAACATTAGAGACAGAAGAACATTTAATACAGCAAGTCAGTGGGACATAAACAGCCTTCCCAGGACCCACAATAATATTACATCCCATTTTGTTGTGGTTTTGTGGTTGTTTTTTTTTTTTTAAGGCATTGTCACATTCTCTTGTTTTCTGCCATCTCTGCTTTGACTTAAGGCAACCATCAGCAAAGAAGCTGAGTAACACTTGCCAATTTGCTGTTGCTGAGGAGTGAAATCTTCGGGAGACAGCAAATCTAGATTACAACAAATCCAATGACAGCAAAAAAAAAAGATAGGGAATGCATGCACACCCAAAGGAGAGAATCACTGGCAGAAATATTAATTTTACCTTAACTGCTCAGCTCTAAAATGCTAACTGTTTGTTCCTTCTTACTCTTGACTGCTTCTAATGCTCCTTAAAACATTTTTTAAAGTAGTGTCTCTGAAGCTATGAGCTATTGCAGGAAAACAGGGCTCGGATGTCTGCAGTTGTACATTATTTATGCAATAATATTCCTCTAGTAATGGCCTTCTGAGAAATACATGGTCAGATTCATAAAAAGGTCTCTCATTCCTGGTCCCTTAAGTACACACATTCAAACATACATCTAGTGCCTGCACAATAAAAATAAAAATGATGGATGAGGTAAGGGACTCATCTGACTG